ATTCTGTGGGCTGTCTATTCACGCTAATGATAGTTTCCTTGGCAGTGCAGAAGCTTTTTAATTTGATTAGATCCCATTTATTTATTTTTGTTGCTGCGGCGATTGCTTTGGGGGTCTTCTTCAAGAATTCCTTATTTTTTCTCTGTAATCACAACTTAAAAATAAACTCATTCATTTTTCTATCTCTCTTCTGCTCTTATCTCTTAGTGTACCAACTTGACAACCAAAATGTGTGTCACTTATATTGAGTTTTATTGATTTAAACATTCCTAACCCAACTTTTCCTACTGCACACATCAATATATGTGAATTTCAGGTACTACATTCATGGTTTAAAATTTATTCACACCAATACCATAGCATTTCATATATCAAAAGTTGTATCCTTTACTTCATTATTCCTCAAAAAATAAACTTTTCTACCCTTTCAAATTTGAGATTTTAATGGCTCTTATGAACTCTAAGGTTACCTAAAAAGATAAATTTTAGTGTTCATTTTCTCATTAACAGTTACTGATATACATATTTTCCTGTAGAAGCCTTGAGCCAATTTTCAGACTCCCCCCAAGAAGTATATTGTTTTTTTCCCCATAACTTCTTATTTGTGTCCTGCTACCTAATGTTCATAAAGAAAATAACCATGTGATTGGCTGACACCACAGCATATCCTACTTGGACTCTGTGGTGCACAAGATCCAGAGATAAGTTGACATCCTCCACAAAGCCTGCCCACTCCATGAGTCACAACATTTAATTATGAAACTACTCTTTCCACAGGGTGACATTTGTTTTTCCTATTCTTTGCCCCATGCCCTTGAAGGTAACTTGCACAGCAGAATCAGAGGTTTTTCAAGCCCTGCATAACACAGAAGAAGAGCAGTAGTAGAAACGCTGACAGATAGTTGTCTGCAGAGATCAGAATGTGGAAGAAATCTAATGTTCTGACACTGCCCTGGATCTCAGCTATTCTAATAGGCCTTGATTCTTCCAGTGGAGTTTTCCATTGAATGGAGAAAAAACTTTCCCTTTGGGCTTGTTCCTAAATATATTAACAATAGAATGGCCAGTTCCTTGCTGATATTATGATCCTACATCATTTCTAATATTTTTTTTATATTGCTTCTAAATTCCTGTAAAGTGTGGTAGACTAAATACTTTCCCGCCTCCTTTTCTTGTCACAGATTTCTAGGCATAACACAAATATATACATAAACAAATACATATTCACACAGACATACTGTACTTGTTTAAAAATCTATACTGCATTGCAAAAGAAAATTCCAAACTCACAGAAAATTTGGGAAAATAAAAACAGAAAAGAACACACAACAACAACCACAAAACAGCAAAAGAGATTACTGCCTCAAATGATGAAAGAACTCCAAGATTACCCAAAGCCTGAAAGAGGTAGAGGAGTCCACACAAGTGGTGGGCAAAAACCTAACATAGAGCTCTAATCTCTTTTCTCTCCAGGACTTCTGGAGAAAAGTGTGATTACCTTGACATAGAACATCCATATCACAGAAAGTTAGTATAGAGGGACTGAGAGGCTAAGGCTTTTCTGCCCAAATTCTGGAATATCAGAGAAAAGAAATGAAAATGGAGATACGGACATGAAGATAGTTTTAGGTGGAAGAGGAGAGACTACACCTCTGAGAGCCACTGCCCAGGAGGACTCTACAGATGAGACTCCCCAGGAATGAACCCAGCACACTGTAGAGTTTGAGAACACAGACTCTGGAGTCAGATCACTCCAGCTCTGTCACTTACTGGCCTTGTGACTTTGGACATGTTAATAAACATATCTGTGCTTCAGTACAGTATCTGTTACATGGAGATGAATTATAATCACACCAATTTCATTGCATTGTTATAAGAAGTGAATGAATTGCTGTTTTCATATTGTTAGAAGTGCCTGCCATATAATACTTCATCCTTATATACTTATGAAAATCATTTTCATCTACTACATACATGCCCATTTGTAAAGGTCCACCATAATTTATTTACCACTTCAAATAGGTCTTTTATATGTTTCAAATCTATTATAACCAATCATAACATGAGCATTGACATAGAAGTTAATAATGTACACATTCGAGGATAGTCATGAAATAAATACCCAAGAAGTTGAATTGCTCAAAGATTTGGTATGTCCATTTACATTTTCATGCACATAGTTACATTGTCCTTTAACAAGAATGTAGGGTTCACATGTCTAGGAACCATTCATTCATGCATTCATTTAAGTATCCATTTATTTATTGAATATTCATGGAGCCAATATGTTCCAGACACTGTTTCAAGTAGTTGGCATTCATTAAGTGAGCAAAACAAACACCCTGCTCATATGGAACATGTATTTTACTGAATGAAAACAAACAATAAAAAAGTAAACACATAAGAGGGATTAGCAAATTTGTTAGCAACCTCTACTTTTTAGTGAGATTGCCCAAGATCAACTCCTGGCTCTAACACATAAAAAGCTGTGTGACCTAGAATCCCAACGTTCAACCACACTTTACTGAGCATCTGTTTAGTCGTTTGGGTATTAAAATGGGTAGAATGATAGGATGGTAGGCTGAATAATGCCTTAACATTGGGAGATTGTTCTAGATTATCCAGGTGGGTTCAATGTAATCACAGGGGTCCTCATAAGAGGGAGATAAAAGGGTAAGAGTCAATAGTAGGAGGTGTGACACCAGGGGCAAGGATCTGGAGCGAAGCAAGGAAGAGTTCACGAGCCCAGGAATGCAAGCAGCCTTTAGAAGATGAAACAGGCAGGAAATCAGATTCTCCCCCTAGAGCATCCAGAGGGAACCAGCACAGCCAGCTCCTTCATTTTATCTTGCCTGTTGGTGTTTGCTCACATCTTTGCTACCCCTACATTAAAACATTTTCATTTCCCAATCAAGAAGCTTTATAATGTATAATACGTCATTTTAATTTGGATCTTTTCATCCATATAATAGCCATTTCCACTTTCTCTTCTGTAATCTATTTGCATCATTTGCCTATGTTTCTGTTACCTTAGAGGTTTGCTTTGTACATAGTTTAGTAGAAAAGCAGCAAGTTGTAATGCAATATGTATAGGATGAGCTCGATATTGTAAATAACTCTATAACCCTATATCTATGTATGCATAAATTATATTTTATCTATTGTGTGAATATACACTTATGTTCATATATATGTATAGATGTATATGTATGTCTGTGCCCATATGTTGTCTTTAAAATGTATTCCAACGTTTAGGTAGCCTCTTCTGAAATATGAGCTGGGAGAAGGGTAGTGAGTGATATCAATTCTCGTATTACACACTTCAAGCAGGAGACGGGGGAAAAAAGAGTATAATTCTATGTGACAATATATTCAGTTTACTATGCTTTGGAGACGACATGAGGGTAATGATTTCAGGACCACACCATCAAATTACCATCACATTTATGTTAGGTGTAAAAAAATGTAGTGGAAACTAAAAAATAATAAAACTTGGTAATTCCTCTCAGGGATTTTGTTTGTGTTTGGGGAGAGAAGAGTAACTCTCAGAACACATAAGTATCAATATGAAACATATGTTTCCAAACTAAGTTGGAAACTAGAAGTAATAAAAGTAATCCAGTCTTTATTTAGGATAAAGTAATGCCACTTTATGGTAATGCTATAGCAACACCAAAGCAGGTACATAAATTCTAGTACATATTGTTCATTCCTCCTTATCACTGATCCTCCCAATATTTCCTACAGCTTGGAGCTGCTCCTGGACACAGATTCTCCTTCAAATACAAACCTTGAGTAACTCTAGGTGACCCTCAGCCAAGAGAGCTTCCCTACCCTCTTCCCCTTTGTCCCCTTCTGTGCTTATCATTTTGAGGACCAGCATGGCCTCCTGGGACTCTATTTTCATTTAATTTTTACTTGCTTTATGCACAAAAGAAAGAAAGTCTGACAACTGACCCAATATATAATAATGATTTTTATTTAGAATGTGCAGGAGAAATAAGTCTGAATTATCATACACTAATAATTTTCTCTGTTTTACCATGATAACATTAATAACTGAATATTAGCTAAGGATTGGCATATGTGGTGATTAATACAGGGGTTACAGAATACGAGGAATGGTAGATATATTTGTGTAGTGAAACTCAGGAAACTCTCCTAAAAGGAGGAATGATGTCCACGGGATCTTGAGGGAATGGGGAGATGTGAGAGCAGAGGTCAGAGAAGGCATCTCTGATGGTGGGAAGGAGGCGGAAGATGTCCCAGAGAAGAGGGAGCTGCAGAGGGCAGCCCTTCAGCAACCGGACTGTCTGACCTTCTTCAGACAGGAATGAAGCAGAGCTGGTACAAGGGTGGCACAGAAGCAAATCCTTTTGCAACTGGGGTGATATCAAGGTCCTTTGGATCAACCAGAGATTTCAGGTTAAAGTTCTGTAAAATGGAGGTCAGGAATAAAAATAGCTCCATGCGGGCCAGTCCCTCTCCCACACAAATCCGTTTTCCTAAAAATAACAAGCATAAAGGGTAATTACTCCTTGTGTGTAGCAGTGACTGTGACAAACACTGTGTTTGTGACTAGAACAAATGAAATACATAGTAACTCTTTGATAAATGGTGTGATAGATGGAAGCATGATTGGATAGACAAATGAACAAAAAGTGGACACATTTGTTGTCCGCCTAACATCTGATCTTAAGGGGCATCTTTCATTTAACAAATATTAATATTTATTAAGCATGAGCTCCATGTCAAGCACTCTATTAAATATTCTCATATTAAAATTGATGTTTTGATGTTTTGAGTTTCCATTTATATTTTACAAGAAAGCACACCCACATTCTTGTGTTTTCTGTTCCTAATCTGACATTTCCATGATCTTTCCTACGACTCTTCACGCCTTCTATTCTCAGCTCAAGCCATGCTTCAACTGAAGCATGTGTTATGTTCTGAATGTTTCTCCCCAAAATTCATATGTTTAAATTTAATCTCAATTCCACAGTATTAATATGTATGGCCTTTGTAAGATCAATAAACTGCGCAGGTTCTGCATTCATTGGACTAATGACCATGTAAAAGAGATGCAAGGGAACTATTCCTCCCCCTCTTGCTCTTTCTGTCCTTCCATCTTGTGAAGACACAAAGAGGGCATGATCTAGAGGAAAAGGCCCTAACCACACACCAATCTTTCTGGTGCCTGGATCTTGGACTTCCCCACCTCCAGAACTGTGAGTAATAAATTTCTGTTCTTTATAAATTACCCAGTCTTGGGAATTTTGTTAGGGCATTACAAAGGGATGAAACCAGCATGAATCATCTGGAATCACACGTCTCTGTTTATTTTTGACTACGCTAAAATATGAATTTTGAAGGGAGGGCTTTGGACACTTTCCTTGTTGTGTCAGTTTCTACAATGCCAGATAAAGTGGACATCAAAAGGCACAGAATATAGAATGGTGGTTCCATGTCCAGAGACCCAGCATACACACTGCAGGTGTGGAGATCCAATATTCAAGATATCTGATCATAACTGGATGAAGAGCAGGATGCTTTAGAATCACTGCAGAGTATCCAGCCACATTCCTAATGTTTTCCTGACTCTGTGATTATTAGGCAGAGACATCCTTGATTTAGAGCAAATGTCCCACTCCTATAGTTCATTACCTCCTTAAAAACGCCCTGCCTTCTTTTCATTCTATTTTCTGTCTCTTTTGAGGCAGCTCAAATGTCATTTCTGCTATTAAAACATTGCTTACTTCATTTTATGTCTCAGTGTGGGGTATGAGAGAGCAAGGGCAGGCATCTTCTCTCTCTGTCCCCTACATCCAGCAGCCTGTGAATTTCTCTCTTACAGCCCCAATCATACTGAATTATAATGATCATATTTACTCATCTGCTTCCTTACCTTGGGAGTGAACTCTTAAGATTCCTTTCTGTGTCTGAGGATACTTGTATCCCCAGAGCTCAGCTTTGGGGATGAGAAACACCACATAGAAGACCTTCAGTGAAATTTTAGAGTTAGATGCCTTTCTCATGGTGGGGGATGAAAGAATGAATCAGTTCTAAGTTCTAGTAGGAGCTCTAGGGTACCTCAGTTATGTATCTAGTGGCAGAATTCAACCAATCTATACTTTAGCTTTCTCAATTTGGAAAAAATGAGCCAACTCCCCAAACCCCCTCTAATCTGGCCCAATAGCAAGGAAGTATCATGAGAGGGGAAGCACATGGGCATTGGGAGTGGAGCTCTGATCATGTACAAAAAAAATTAATTCTATAGGCTTCCAGAAGAGGCACCATGTAAGTTACAATTGACCCCCAAAAGTAATCCTGTTCTCTCAAGTATTATGTAAAAGAATTTCCATTACCTGCTGAGAAAGGCATGAAGTAGTCACTTTTCTTAAACTTGCCACTCTCATCCAGAAAGTGGCTAGGGTCAAACATTTCTGGTTTGGAGAATTCCTTGCTGTCATACAGCACAGATGTTAGGAATGGTAATACAGTTGTGCCCTGGAAACCACAAATGTAGATAAACCAAAGTATAAAAAAGTCATGGAACTGGAAGAAACAATAGTAATCACCTAGTTAATTCTTTGATCCATATATGAGGAAATGCTGGCCCAAGAAGAGCAGCAACATTTCCAACCAGACAGACTCAGCAATGAAAGACATAAGTTTAAGGCCAGTGCCAGTGATCTTGCTAAAGTGGCCTCCAATCAATCACATTTGAAGACCTGAGTACTTGGGTACTTTGATACAAAACCTTCTGAATTAGTTCGCCTTATAATCAATCTTAGACGTTAGTGTCTATCCCCACTTGCTGCTCTATTTCATCATTTCAGTTTTCATACACCTCATCTGTAGAGCATGGCTTAAAATGGAAGTCTCTGTTGGCAGTTGAAATGTCTGCAGTATCTGTTCAGAGGGCATTTGTAATCAAACATATGATCTACTTTAAAAAAACATCTTCTGGGATGGTAACAACAAGTACAGTAATGACTATAAAACTATTGTGTTCATCATTGCCATGCAATTTTTTGTCTCAATTAAAAATATGGGGAAGATATTGATTACAGTTTAATTCTAGCTTAAAAACACAGAAAGGATCGTGAAATTAGAAAAATCATCGCTTCATAAGAATTCAGGTCAGGATCATCACTTCAGGCAAGGATCATCAAGTAAAGCTAAAATTTTGGGTGCATGATTTGGGAAGCAGGACTTTTAAACAGTCTTAAAGTACAATGGGCCATAGATTTTTATTAATTACACATAAAAAGCAGAATCTCTGCAATAGAGAGATCTGTTAGGTACCACCTTATTTCTGAGGAACTTAGCATAACCAATAATGGCTTAAATATTTGCAATTTTACAAATCTCATTGATTTTTTCCCCTTGAAAATACTAATACAAGTTTTGGTGATATTATTTTTAATTTTAATGATAATATGACCTGGCTTCAATGGAATTAGAGTAGCTTGTAGCATGGCAACTAGAATGTCTGGATGAATATGGGAACCATGTGTTAGAAGGCATTGTAAAGCCACTAAGATAAAAATTGGTCTCAAGATTCCAGAGATGGGAAAACATTAGAGAGGTAAGCTAACAGCTACAGTTAATCTTTAACTGTGTTCACTTCATGTCCAACCCTGAATCAGGGCAAGAGATCTTACATCATTATGACTGCCTACGGGAGAGGAATTAATCCTTTCTAGAAGGAGCTAAACGTCTCTGATACTCTGTATTTTTTCATTTATACCGTCGGCTATTCAACCAAAAGTTGTTAGGTATTTCAAAGATACAGCTAAGTGGTCACAAGATGAAAAGTGGGGGAAGGAAGGCAACAAAAAAGGACCCACATTTGGTAAGATTTTTTGCCTAATTTCATGAGGCCAGCATTATCTCAGCATCAGAAATCTGACAAGAAAATTTTGAGGAAGTAAAAACAAAGACGAAAATATCTTACAAATATAAATACAGAAGTCCTGAACAATATGGAGCAGATCCAATCCAGGTATGTGTAGTCTTGTGTATATTTAGAAAGGAGGGTGAGGCCAATATACGCAATCATGCCAATAGAGGCAGAGAATCAATTTGATGAAATTAGACACAAATTTCTGACAAAAATTCATATAAAAAATTTGAGCAAAGAACAAACTTTCTTAATGTGTTAAAGAATATGTACCTAAATCTACTGAAAGCATCATTCTCAATAGTGAGATGTTAAAGCTCCACCCTTTCTTGCAGATGAGACATGAAACAAGGATCCCCACTGTCACCAATTCTGTTCAATGCCATCCTGGAAATCCTAGTCAGTGCAATAATGCAATAAATAGAAATTAGGGGCACAAGAAGTGGAAAATAAGAAATAAAACAAATATCCCAAATAGAAAAATAATTGTGCATGGAAATTCCCCATGAATCTATAGTCAAATTATTAGCCATGATTAGTCAATTTAGAAAAGTTGTTAGATTCATGTCATAAGAATGATAAAATTAATTATATTTCCATATAGTAGGTCTAAAGGAATGGAAAAGGCATTTTATAAATTCATAACAACAAAAATATTCATTATCTAGCAAAAACCTAACAAAAGATTTGCAAACCACTGCACTAAAAATAAAATATGACTGAGAAAATAAAAGAAAGCCCAAATACATTGGGAGTATAACCATATTCATGAATTGAAAGATTCAATGTGACAAGATATCAGTTTTTTCCAAATTGATCTATAGATTGAATATGACCCTGATAGAAATCCCAGCACGGTGTTTGGGTAATTGACAAACTGATACTTATAAAATGTATTTGGAAATGTGTACACCTAAGAGTAGCCAAAATAACCTTGAAGAAGGAGAACAAATTTGGAAGACACAAGCTGCTAGGAACCAAGACCTGTTCTAAAGCTTTATAGCCCCAAACTAGAAATAACACAAAGTCCATCAAGCTGCCACACGTGAGTTTTCCATTTCTCTCATCTTGTGTTGGTAGAGGATTGGAACCATACTGTGGATTGGGGAATTTCAAGAATGCTGAGGTACAGTGTAGGAAAAACAAGCTTACCTTGGGGATTAGGTAGTTTCTGAATTTAATGTCATGGGTCACTGCATGGGGGAGGTCGGTGGGGATGAGGTCAATGTATCTCTGGACCTCATGTATCACAGCATCCGTGTAGGGCATGTGGCTCTTGTCCTGCATGCAGGGGCTCCTGTGTCTACCAACCACACGGTCAATCTCTTCCTGAACTTTAGCTGATAAGACACAGTAAGAAGTGACGGAAAAGGAGAAAAATGGCACATTTACCATAGGAATCAGGGCTACATGAAGCATTACGAAAGTACCCCAATGTCATTTCAAACTTAGATTATAGAGCTAGAAGTACCTATAGACTTAGAGAATTGTTATAATACAAATGCATACAATTGCACCATAAGCTAGGCATTAAGATAAATCTCTTATGTACATGTATTAACATATATGATAAGTACTACAAACAGAAATGATGAAATGTTTGATATATAAAGTAAGCATATAATTAAGTCATGAAATTACTCTCTTCCAAGAGTAAAAACAGGAATCGAATATTAATTTCATATGAAAACAATATGAGGTTTTAAAAAAATTAAGTTCTACTAAAAGATTTACACATACATATTTGTATCGGTATTTGTGTGTCTCTGTGTACGTGTGTGTCTATACCACGTACGATGGTACTCTCTACATCTTCCCACTTCCAAATTGTGGCTACTGTGGACATTCTAGCACCTTCTTCTGAAAAATACATTCATTTTTCTAAATAAAGACTTTCTATTTCTTACCCATTTATAGATAATATTTAATTATTTCTCATTACGGGATACGAAAATTTTAATCTCCATCTCCACCTCATATTTGGACATACTTTCAAACAGATACACAAACACACACTTCCCTCACTCCATTATCCAGAATATATTTGGACCACAATTTCTGGTTATATTAGTATTCATTAATTACATCATTCTAACTACATAAATACTCATCCCTGGTAAGATAGTTATGATTTTATATTTCATTTTTGGTATTTTCTTGGACTTAACGGTGTCTCCTTACTTGAATTCATAATTTCTTATTTCCCTAGTTAGAATTATTTCCAAATTCTTGAGTAGATATTCCAAATACCCTGTAATAATTTCCTGATTATTGAGAAACCTCAGACTATCAATCACTTCTCTTTTGGCTGTTTACTGTATTCCATTCTTCCTAATTTAAAAGGACTGATTTTCATTTATAAATAAGCTATTGTCAATTCAGTGGGATCTTGACACATAAAAAAGTATCTGTTGCATAAAAGGTAAATTTCTAAAGTAAAGTTATTCATAAAAGAAAAAATTATTGACCCACTCCTCAAAACATTCTTTATATTGTCAAACACCAGTTTTGTGGATCAGACTTCTGGAATAATAAATTTCCTTTCGGTATATCTTTTGCATAAATGGAAACATCTTTCTTATGAATCCAACTTTTTAGAATACTTTCCAGACTGGAAATTATCTCAGGCAGCCTCACTAAATTTCTAGGATTTCTAAGTATGATTCCGTAAAGAGAGTTTCTGTTTTCCCTAATTCAACATTAGAACATGGAATTTTCATAATGAAGACAAGTATCTTCAAAAATATACCTACCATTCAAAAAATTCCTTTTTCATAATAAAATCAAAGTGCAATCCTAAGCCAATTTCTGTTGGCTCTGTCTGACATAAATCATTCCCAGGGAAATCCAGATGCTGCACCAGAGCTCTATTGCTCTTCCTACTGCCACGGCACCTTTACTTCTCCCAGTCAACCTTTCCTATTGTGCAAAGATGTCCCATTTTAATCGCATCATTAAATTTGTACATGCTACAGCTGTTGGCATAGAACTTTAAATTATGTAGCTTTTTAAGGGAAACAGGATGGAGGACACCAGCAGTGTCCTCCCAACATTATTTCTGAAATTCACATTGCAAATCATCTGTGGTCATACCTGTGACATCTGGATGCTTCAGCAGGAGCAGGAGAGCATACCTCAAGGTTGTGCTGGTTGTCTCTGTCCCAGCTCCAAACAAATCAAATGCAGTGGTCACTAGGGCTTCAAAAGTAAACTCCAACTGTTGATTGTTCTTTTCCTAGGAATGATTTGATGCAACAATCTGACGAATTCATATGCCAGCATATTTTTACCGTTAATCCATAATAACTCACATTGTTATAAAGTTATCTAACATAGAAAGTAGAAAGTATAATATTAGAGAAAACTACTGTATGGTATAGCACAGGCTGTAGATCAGTTGATCCAAACTTTATTTCCTGCCCCGTTATTCCGTACTTTCCCAAAAATGCCATTCATCAAACTCTTTGCAGTTAGCTGAGTTAGGCAATATATTTTTTTGCTGATAAGATATACACAGAAACCTGCTGCTGCCACTTCTTCTATTTCCTCCTTCTTACTCAGACACAAATGTGAAGGAGGAGGTAGAGTAGACCTCATTTTGGGACATGAGGATTTAATCTTCAAAACGAAGACCTATATATGAAATATAATGGAGAGGGAAAGGAAGGCATTCAACTCTGTAATGCTTTGGGACTACTGTATCATTCCTATATTGCCCCAGCATGAGACGCTGTGTATTTGAGTTAAATACTCCCATTGCTTGTTTAATTATTAACTTGATTTTCCTTTATTTGCAGACAAATACAATGTAAATTAACAGAAATAGGTAAATAGAACCATGTCATGAAAAATGTTATCAGCCTGAATCACTAGTCTACAATTCTATTCTTCTGTCAGAAATTGACATGGACTCATTGTCCGCAGACCTATTATGACATTGTATGACTTGTACCAAGTTGACATTGTATAAAAGCTAATATGACAGCAAAGCATAGTATGAATTATAGGGAAAAAGAATGGATTAACAATGACCAGATAAGGGCAGCACTGTTGTAATCCAGATGGGAAGTAAGATGCACCCTGATCTAAGGAGCAGGTGCAGGAATAAATAGGAATATTCAAATTGAAAAGACACTGCAATCACGGAGACAGACAGTTGAGGCATTAACTTTCCATACAGTATAAAAAACAGAGCAGGGGTAATGCACATGCCAAGCCTAAGGGACTAGCTGAATGGAGTTCTTATGAATTAGAAGTTAGAAGAGAAAGCAATGATAAGGAACTGTAAGTTTGGTTCAGGGCTGAGGAGATGATGTGACACAGAATTGACAACAAGGAGGTAGTTTCAAACATTGAGTACAGACATCTTTAATGTACAAAATATGTTATTTTATATTTACAAAATTTTAACTAATATCGTGAATATTACAAAATATATTATCTTCTAACAAGTTCCTAGGCTGGTGTTAAATTATTAATGATTTTTTAGTCTCCAGGTGACCTGTAGCATGTCTAATATTATGGAATCAACACATGAAAGAGGACTAGACCCTCACAACATGTGTACTTCCTTTATAATTTTTTATCCACTCAGCCAGTCTATGTCTCTCCAGAGGACAATTCAAGTCATTGGCATTTATTGACAGGATTGATATTTGGGGTAGATTTCTGTTCATATTGTTGAGTAAATTCTTATTATTTTGTTTTACCTCTCAAGTCATTGTGGAATCCAGGTTCTGGACTTCAATTCTTGAGTGATTTTACTTTGGTGAGTGTCTACTATGCTGTTCAGTGTATAATGCAGGTCTGAGTACTTCCTGCAGAGCAGGTCTGGTCTTACCAAATTCCATGATTGTTTGCTTGTCTGGGACAGTCTTTATTTCTCCCTCATAGACAAAGCTTAATATTGCTGAGTAAAAAATTCTAGGTTGGCCATTATTCTGTTTTAGAAGATTGAGGATGGGACCCCAGTCCCTTCTCGCTTGTAGGGTTTCAGTTGAGAAGTCTGCAGTTAGTCTGATAGGTTTTTCCTTTGTAGGTTATCTGCTGTTTTCATCTTACTGCTTGAAGGATTACCTTTTTTGTGTTTACTTTGGCCAGTCTAATAATTATGTGATGTGGTGAATGCCCTTTCACATTGACTCTCCCAGGAGTTCTGTGTGCTTCTTGTATCTAGATATCTAGATTTCTGGGCCAGGCCAGGCAAATTTTCCTCCAGTATTCCAAGAAATAGATTTTCCAGCCCTTGTGTATTTTCTTCTCTCTCTGGGATTCCTATAATTCTTATATTTGGTTTCTTTACATAATCACACATTTATTGTATGTTTTGTTCTTGTGTCTTGCTTCTGCATTCTTTTCTTCATCTGATTTTTTTAGCACATAAGCATTATCTTCAAGCTCTGAGATTCTTTCCTCTGTGTGATCCATTCTATTCTTAAGGCTTTCCACTGTGGTTTTTTTTTATTTCAGCATATTATGGGGGTACAGATGTTTAGGTTACATATGTTGCCATTGCCCCCCCCAAGTCCAAGTTTCAAATATATCCATTTTCCACTGTGTTTTGAAGTTCCTAGAATGCATCTTTCATTTCCAGAATTTCTGTTTGGTTCTTTTGTAGTATTTTAATTTCTTTAGAGAATTTTTTATTCGTTTTCTATGTTATTCTTGTGGCTTCTTTGTGTTGGGTTTCTATTTTCTCTTTGATTCCATTGAGTTTTCTTACAATCCATATTCAGAATTCTTCCTCTATCATTTCAATCATTTCATTTAAATTAGTGTCTGTTTTTGAGGGTCTAATGATTTCTTTTGGGGGTGAATTTTCTCTCTGATCTCTCATGTTTCCTGCATTCTTTCACTGGTTCTTTCTCATCAGGCTACTTGATCGAGAACTGGGAGTGCTAGGACTGGTTTGTGCCCCTAACTTCAAGCCCCCAAAGGATGTTCCTTGACACTGGTGGGAAGAGGTGTGCTGGTCTTATATTGCCTTAGAGGTATTTTAGCAAGTTGGGTTACCTCTGACCTGTCATCTTCACCTCTTGCCAATGGAGACTAGTGAGTTTGGTCCCCCAGCTTAAGCTCCTAGGTGGTAGATCACACTTGTGTGCATGACTCCACTGCCATCTAATAGCTAGAGATGGAGGGCACTGTATTAAGCTATGGGGTTACCCTCTCTGTCATTGGATGTAGATTCCATGGAGGAGCCAGTTATTGAGGTAATCTGATGCCTTTGTCTCTGGTCTCCTGGATAAGGAATAGAATGCCCTCACCTTTAGGAAGGGTCTTGCCACTCCGAAGGGTTACTTGGACCCTATTCCCCCCTAAAGTGGGGGTAAGGGCAAGACAGTTCTCAGCCGATGCCTGCAAGCGTTTGTGTGTGTGTGTGTGTGTGTGTGTGTGTGTGTGTGTGTATGTGTGCGTGTGCGCCCGCTTCTATGGTTGCTTGACCTGCCCCTAGGGGGAGCCGCTAATATGTTATTCAGGGCTCTTTCACCACACTTGGGAGGCTGATCCTGATGGGAGGGGTCAATTGGTGGAATTGCTAAGGTCTCTCACCAGGATTTTCCTTCCCTGTCTACAGCCCCCACTGTTGGCAGTGGCCCGGATACGGAAAGCAAGCCCTAGCATTATGTTCTCATTAGCTGACCTACACTGGTCCAGCAGAACAAATCAATGGTCTGTCAATTATTGTACACTGCCAAGGCCCTGCAGATTCACACCAGTAACACAGGGAAAGCGGCTTTTCTCACTTCTCCCCACCTCCAAGGGCAGAGCCCGCCGTGCCCGGCGCTAAAGTCACTGCGCTAGAGGAGGGGTGTTGCCCAACCACCAAGTGCCCCAGCCTCTGGGGATCCCACAAATGGCGGTCTCCCACCACTGAACAACTAGAATTGGGGGGAAGCACTCAAGATTCACCCACCAACTCAGGCCCAGCTAGCCGAATCAACAGGTTGCGGATGTCCCGCGAATTCACACCAACCACAAAGAGCAAGCAGTGAGGGGGGTCGGGAAGATGGCAGATTAGGGGTGACCTCCTGGCTCTCTGCTCCCAGAGTGGGAGGTGAAGAACACGGACACCCACACGCGAGTGAGGCGCTCCCCTGCAGGATTGGCTTCGTGAATCTACAGGGAGGCAGCGAGGGACAAGCAGTCCAGCGGATAAAATCAGGTGAACTCAAAAAACACTTGCAAATTACCGGAGAGTTGGGACAAAGGGGAAAGGCAGCGAGGGACGGCCGCACCCCGTAGCGGGCTGGCCCGGGCAGTGCGATCTGACTCACAGGAAGACGACTCTTCCTTCACCTAACCCCACTCCCACGCAGGCAGGGAAGTGCCAGAGGTCAGTGCGAAGTGGTAGCACAGACCGACAAGCGGCGGGGAGCCGAGACAGGAGCAGGGTCCATTTCGAACGCAGCAGAGCGCGGCGCTGGGTCCGTATCGGAGGAGAGGGACCAGCAAGAGCGCCCGCTCCCCAGATCGGACGCCGACGGAGCCCAGAGGGGAGAGTTTGGAGGCCGCTTCTTGCCACAGGAGACCACCAGGACTGGATTTGGGGAGGGGAACTGCATAAAAGAGGCTCTACCCGCGGAAATCACTGAAAGTTCCGCTGGTGCTGGGAGGGACACAGCACAGAGTTCTCCCGCGGATCGGTCAGAGTCGCTGTGGGTAGGGTGCGCAGCCGGCCGGCAGGCGGCCCTAGAACGCACCTCTTGGAATAGGCAACGGTGGACCCTGGCTCCAGACGCCCTCCCACGGCAGTCGGCTCCAGCGCTGACTAGCATGGGGTGGGCAGCTGCAATTTGGGGACCCCAAAGCCTGCGACTGCGGGGACTTGTTGCCTGGGTGTCCGCCTGAGTCATAGCCGCTGCCTCTGCGGCAGAGCTGGTCGCGCCGTGCGAGGAGAGGCGCGCAGCCATTTTTTCTCTCGAATCTGTGGAGTCTGTCACAGCCGCAGACTCAAGCTCCGCCTCCGAAAGCAGAAAAGAGAGAAAGAGCGATATTGCTGCCAAGTTCCCAGGC